GTTGAGATCAACCTGCCCCGCCACTCGCCTGGGCCCTGCCATAATTGCAGTCCCCAAATAACACACAAGACACTGTATTAATTATGAAGCTGTTGGCCTTGCTTTTTACTGGCTAGCTCTGACTTAAGTATTTAACCTGTCTAAGTATTTCTCTTACCGGAGAAAAGGGTCCGGACTTCTTACCCCTATGGCAGCTACATGATGACTCCCTGTGTTTCTCCTTCCCAGAGTCCTCCCCGACTCCTAGTCCCACCTATCTTGCTTCCCTATTGGCCGACAGTGCTTTATTGACATATACACAGGACTTCCCCATCATATGGCCACATAACATGTTTATTGAATGTTTTAAACTGTTACTAGTGACTCGGGTTAGGAGGGAGGGGGAGGAAAGAGGCTGCAGGAGAGAGGGGATCAGGCAGCATGTTTCTACAGGGGTGCTGACCCACCCTCTGATGTACACGCATGGGTGTGACCAGCTGGCGTGGCTAGTTCCTGTTTTTTTCCTCATAGCCCTTGGGCCTTCCTCCAACCCTGCCAGAAACAGTCTGTGCTTTGTTATTACCTTCCATGATGATTCTTATGTTTAAGAGTGTTACGTGTGACCCCGCACAGACGCTTCTGTCTGAGTGCCTGGAGCATGTCTGCTCACATAACTGGACGTTCACTCCGCGTCCGTCCGGATCTCAGCTTGCAGGTCACTCTTGGGTGTTGCCACTTCTTCGCATGTCAGTCCGAATGGCGTGTGGGTGCTGTTCTCCAAGTAATATTTTCACATGTGACCTTTTTTGGGTATTAAGTGGTTGATTTCATTCACAAGCACGTCCTTTTAGTTAGGGGCTAAAGAACTATTGAGAACTTTCTTCTGTATCCGACCCCAAGTCCCTTTAGTTACGTGTTGCTTACGGTAGTGAGTTACTGACTGCTGTTTCTCTGTTCCCTTTAGTGACAGCATTTTATAATGTAGGCAGTACTCCTTACTGTTCTAAAATGGCAAACCAGCACATCAGATGTCTTCTGGTTTCTCCAGGAAGTCGGCATATGATTTAGTTGACATTTTGTTTCCTTTGTTTGTGAAAACTAGGAAGATCCCTAGTTCACTTTGACATAGCCTCAGAGGCTAATGAGCGCGCGCTACCCAAAGCCTACTTTGATGCTTGTCCATTGAGAGCTGTTAAATTCATCTCACGCTGGAAGACTTTCCTTCGTGATGGTGGTGGGGTCATTCTGGAAATGGCGGCATCATAAACGACAGTTGTGTGTTCCTGAAATAGTGTAGGAATTTTACCGTTAGGATTGTGCCCGACCTAACCAGGCCAGATTAATAGTGTTGTCATGTGAAAGACGTTTATGAGATGTGGATTTTGTACGTCCCCATTGTAGAAATCATTTCTTATGATTGCTGCATACAGTGTACACGGGTGCATTGTCTTTCCTAAGTTCCATTCAGTCCATCACTTTGTCCAGTGGCCGTTCTCTCCCGCCTGGCAGGCTTAGCGGTCAACTCTGGGGAATCACACCAGTAGGGTCTGCTGGCCTCGTAGCTTTTAGACATGCGATGAATTAAACTTTGGGCTTCAGCTTAGTTATAGAAGCCATGGGATTGTTATTAAAGCATTAGACAGGAACATGCTGCTCGCACACTGTTTCTGTCTCAGCAGTAACCATTGTTAACTTCCATTCATGCCTTTGGGTGATTTCGTAGGCGTTTATGCGTGTGTTGGTAGTCAACTGTGACAAGATGGGAGGGTGAAAGATTGGAGTTGTATTCTGTGATGTTCTGCAGTCCCCTGTAGGCACTGGGGACCTGTCTTGTCGTCTCCTCCCCGTCTCCCAAGTCTTTGCATATGGTCTGTGTACATTGTTCACTGTGCTTCAGAGTGTTGTCTAATGGCTTAGCTGCTTGTCTGTCGCTGCAACAAGACCCCACAACCAAGACAACTTACAGAGGCATTCATTAACTGGGGCCTACAGTTTCAGTCCATGACCGTTATGGTGAGGGGGTGCAGCATCAGGAAGGCAAACTTGGTATTGGAGCAGTTGCTGAGAGCTTACATCTTGAGACACAGCCGTAATGCAGAGAGAGGGAAGGAGCTAGCTAGGAATGGCAGAGTTTAATGGAATCCCAAAGCTTCTGCAGCCAGTGGCATGCCTCCATGAATAAGGCCACACCCCCTAATCCTTCTCAAACAGATCTGCCGACTGGGGACCAAGAATCCAGACATGTGAGCACATGGGGGGAGCGTTCTCCACACCTACATTTGTTCATGGGTACATTCCCAAGAGATGGTGGCCGTAAAGCTGCCGTTTGCTGAGAAGGGAATGTAGTTTTGTGGCTCCTGTGGTCGTTCATCCGGCAGAGCCGTTTGTCGCCTAGTGGGGACATTAGTGATCACATGCAGGGTGACCTATACGCTGTAGCATATCTCAGTTAGATGTAAACTCACATGGAGTGAGGATGGCAGATAAAGGAAATTGAATTGTCAGGCCTGAGGCTGCCAGCGGTCAAGGACTTGGATTTTATAACAAGAAAGTTTTTATCTGAGCTTGAAGAAGCAAAGGAGATACCTAAAAAAAAAAATACGTGAATGTAACCCACATTGATGATTGGATTTAAAATGCTGCTATCAGTTTTCTAGTAGTGCAACTGTTTATTTTAATCTTTCATAATTTGAATCCAAACTTGGTGCTTCCTGAATTGACTTGACCTTTACTCCCCCCTGCTTTCGCATTACGTTGATGTCAGCCAGAAAAATCTTCAAGGTTGTCATCTAAGATTTAAATGCCATGATCACAACTTGTTTTACTTGAGCTGTTTCACTTCCTTTATTTTTTTAAAATTTTAAAGATTTATGTATTTCATTTTATGCGTATGAATGTTTTGCTGGCATGTATGTGTCTGTGCACCGAATGGGTGCTGATTCTGTAGAGGTCAGGGGAGGGGCTCGGATCCCACGGAACTGTAGTTATGGATGGTTGCGAATCACTGTGGGGATGCTGGAAATTGAATCCAGGTGCTCTGCAAGAACGGCTCTTGACTCCCCCCTGAGCCAGCCCATCCCTTGTTTTCAGTTAAGAGACCCAGAGCTCCCTTTAGGGTGTCTGCCAAAATAATATCAGCATGTATGTAGACGAATGCTCCACCCAATCAGAGGAGCTCCCAGTGGTAGATGGGAAATAACAGAGACCCACCACTGCACACTGTGCAGAGTCTATGCGGAAGAAGAGAAAAGATTTTAAGAGCCAGAGGTGGTGGTGACTTCAGAGAAACAGTGTCTTCCAGGCGTAACAGGGATGCATGCCGAAACTCAAAGAGACAGTGGCAGCGTGCATGAGGTCTGCACAGGTTCAAGCCAGGCACAATCCCCGCACTGAAAAGGGAAGTGGACTCTAACATGAATCATAGCAAACCAGAGACAGATATTGGGGTTCAAGCTGAAGGTCCGAAAAGCCAAGTGGGCCAGCCATTAGTGCTTACCTCTGCCTCAGACTGAAAGGGTGATCCTTGCTCCACGAATCCTCAGCATGGCTAGGGACTGAAGGCCCACACGAGACCCTTTTGCTTCTTCCTTATGCATCTCTCTAGTGCTGGGATTCAAGGTGTGAGCCCCGTTTCTCTTTTAGACTGAGTCACTCTCGTGTAACCCTGGGTGGTCTTGGACTCACAGAGATCCACCTGCCCCTGGCTCCTGAGTCCTGGAGTTAAGAGTGTGTGACACCGCTGCTCAGCTTCTGCGCCTAACTAGTGTGGCTGGTTTTACATTTTGATCTTCAGTGGTTTTATTAGATCATAAACAGTGTGTCACCACAGTGGACCCAACCTCAACTGATACCTGCTAGGAAAGGGAAGTAAAATTTCCCAAATGTAGTATCAGAGCAAGTTGATTTTAGGATTTGAATGGATTGCTAGAATTGACAGGTCTGCATCCATTTATTTTTTATTTTTTGGTTTTTTACGAAGACAGGGTTTCTCTGTATTGTTTTGGAGGCTCTTGATCCAGCCTGGCCTCGAACTCACAGAGATCCGCCTGCCTCTGCCTCCCGAGTGCTGGGATTAAAGGCGTGCGCCACCACTGTCCAGCATCTGCATCCATTTTTTTATTCTGAAATCCTCATACATTATCAGGGTCCACAGGCCTTGGTTTATGTGTGCAATTACGCTTCCTGGGACTGCAGTCGTAGCTGTATCAAAACTTGAGCTCAGGAATTCTAAAGTGTTAAGAGTGCACAGCATTGTATTCAAGTCATCATACTGTGACCCTCTACTTTTTCTGGCTTATGCTTGTGCTCATGAGAAATATTACAGCCTTGCAGCTAGAGCGTCGCTGTGGTGACATAGAAACCCAGCCTCTCTCCTGTCACCCCTCCACTCCATTCTCCTGTCACCCCTCCACTCCAGCAGCCACGTTTCGTGCCCCTCAGGTCCCTAGTCACTGGAGTCTGTCCCTGGACTGATACTGCTCTGCCCATAGCCAGGGCACTCAGCTGACCAGGTCTGCTTGAAGTTTCTGGTTCTTTCCCTCCTGATGGTTGTTGTTTATGGTGAGATGATCCATTCACGCACCATCGCTATTCCAGCCTCCCCCTGGTTTGTTTCTCCTGATTTCTCTCTGGCCATTTGATAACAAAGCCCGAGAGGATTACCTGACAAAGGAGTCACGGTCGGCATTCCGACCGCCCGACAGTGGAGTTATGTGTGCAGACCTCGTAACAGCTGCTCTTGGAGTCCAGCAGTCACTTCCCTCGGTGGGTTTGAAGCTCAGTACTAGAGTGTCAAGGCTTCTTTAAGGGAGACTCTGGCTCTCTTGAGAGTTGTCAACACACTCAGGTGAATGTTGAGTGGTTTTCTCTTCTTTCTAGCCGAGGCTTTCCTCTCATGTTTAAGTTAAAACGATCTGAAAGCGTCTTCAAGTAAAGCCTGGGAACAGAGCCTAAAGGTTTAAGTAGCCCTTAGCTCGCGTCATGGTGATGTGGTTGGTGCATCTGTCTCTCTCGGCCATTAGGTCGCCCCCAACGATGAGGCCGTGGTGACCTTGCTATGCGAGTGGGCTGTGAGCTGCAAAAGATCTGGCAAGCACCGGGCCATGGCGGTGGCAAAGCTCTTGGAGAAGAGGCAGGCGGAGATCGAGGCGGAGGTAGGTCCGGTTCTCCCTCTCCCCTTATGCGTCATGTGGCTTAAGAGGGCCGCCTCTCTCTTACCTGCATTGTGTTAGCTTTCTTTGTCCTGAGGAAGGAGCGGGAGGGATATGTCATCTCCCCAAGATGCATAGTAGGGTCTAAGTAGACACTGCCAATGACGTGTGTTCTAGAATACTATCAAGAACTGCATCTTTTAAATTGAAATGTTAGCATCTGATCAGAACCAGAGAAACCAAATTTTGTGACACCGAGGATTCATAAAATGCCAGTAAACGCATGTAAATTGTGGTACAGTGTGAAACCAATGTTATGATGTTTATGAAGCTACCTCATGGGCTAGCAGACTTGGAAATATTTTCTGGAAATAGGATTACAGGATCATAGATATCAGTTTGAATTCTTTCTGAGATTATGATTTATTTCTAGATAGGATCATTAAAACCCAAGACATAAAATGAAAACCACAGCCAGCATTTGTCAGGGTTAGCTACTATCAAGGGGAATTTTCTAAGTGAGCTCCCTTTTTCCCTCCTTCCCTTCCCTTTTCTTTCATCTTTGTTTTTCTCTGTGTAGCCCTGGCTGGCCTTGAACTTGCTCTGTAGACCAGGCTGGCCTTGACCTCAGAGTTCTACCCTGCTCTGCCTCCCAGTGCTGGAGTTGAAGGTGTTAGCCCAGTAGCTGCAGATGTTAGCCCAGTAGCTGTGACCTGGAGAGCCTGGCCTGCCTCCCCTGGCTGCCTCCCCTGGCTGGCTCCCCTGGCTGGCTCTGGCCTCCCATGCTGTCTGCCTCCTCTTTGTTCTCCCCCTGGCTTTACACAGATCTCAGAGTGGACTTGGAGAGGTGTAAATGGCTCAGATCTTGATTCTCCCCTCCTAAGGTGGACAGAGCCTGCTCAGGCCCCCATAGCTTCCCATTGCTTGCCTTTCCTGTCCTTCCTGAAACATCCGGTGCCCATTGTCGTCTGGGCTGTAGCTCTCACCCTGGTCTTGGCTGTCTGTGCCCTCACTGCATACTGTTACTGTCCCTTCTGGGTAGCAGATTCTGCATGCGTGTGTGTGCGCACGTGTATAGCACGCTAGAGAGGTTCACAGCAGTTTCAAAGTTGAAGTTAAACCAAACCTGTGTCTAGACACGTATTTCTTAGAGATGGCGAAGGTAAATTGGTTCCTGTTATCATTGGGGTCATTAACATTTGACCTTTGAAAGTAGAGAATATTTGAATAACTGGTATTTTAATGTTCTTAGTAATCCAGTTTCAGACGAAAGCATCAAAATAGGAAAAGTCAAAGAAATATCAAAATAGAATAGAAATAGTGGTTCTGGTTACTTCTGAACAGTTTAATCTCCTGCCTAGTAAATTGTGTAGTAAACAGCAGTGACAATAACTTTTCTAGATGTTCTTCATGAGCCGAGGAGAGTCCTAGAGGCCATAGGACATGCTTGTGTTGAAGTTTCATAAACAAGCAAAAGAATGTTTTTGCAAGAATTGTTTGCATCTTCAGTTGTTAGCTCCTAACACACACATTCTGCATGCATCTTCCTAACGCAAATACAACATAAAGTAATCAGAGTCAGAACCCTGTGCCAGAGATCCGGGGTGGGGCATGATCAGACACAAACCCAAGCTGTTTCCAGCAGTTTTGCATGGGAGTAAGGGCGATTTAACTTGTACTGTCTTATATTTCAGCAGGGCACTGTAAACAGAGTCTCCGTAGATCATGGTCTCCGAATCAGCTGAAGTGTCGTGGAGAGGTGTCCTCTACTAGAAGGGACACTCTCTTGTGACACGTGGTCTTCAGATGGTGCAGAAGTCTCAGCTGCTCGGTGGTCGTCTGAGAGCTCAGATGTTTATAGGAGCTGGCAAATCATCTCCTGTTGTTATTGCACCCCTGCTCTAACCCACTGTGCTTGTTTGTTTTTAACTGTAGAGGTGCGGTGACTCAGAAGTCCTGGACGAGAAAGAGTCAATCTCTTCAGCCTCCCTTGCTGGATCTAGTTTGCCTGTTTTCCAGAATGTTCTGCTAAGATTTTTAGATACACAGGCACCATCACTGTGTAAGTAAAGAAGGCATTTGGATTTCCTCCCCTCCCTCTCTTCCTCCCTCCCTCCCCCCCTTCTCTTCCTTCTCCCCTTTTTATCAGCCAGGCCTTCTCTTATTACATGTAATCTAAAGTTCTTGGCATGGAATATAATCTGTTTTATTAAGAAAATGTAATGTATTTTTTCATTGGGTAAGTTTAGTCATTTTAAAATCAGTGAAGTATCAAAAAAAACTTTAAAATGTAAAAGTTAAGTATCCTCATACCCTCATATTTGGTGCAGTAGTTTCCTTCCTTCCTTCCTTCCTTCCTTCCTTCCTTCCTTCCTTCCTTCCTTCCTTCCTTCCTTCCTTCCTTCCTTTCCTTCTTTGTTTCTTTCTTTCTGAGAGTCTCTTACCAAACAGAGGAATTCGGGTGCTGTGATACTTACTCAGGCATTGTGATGCTAGTATTTTTCTTTTGGAGTGGCTTTCTAATCTTCTGGTTTTCCTCTTACATTTAAGAAAGGAGGAAAATAAGGCAGCAATACTTTATAACCTTACAGCCTACCAGGAGAGGCTGACAATGGGTGTGGCCGTGGCTTCACCATTCTCCTTGGGATGTTTCCATCACCTACTTTGTTGTTGGGAAGTTCAGAGTTGGTGGAATTAACAGCCACCTATTAGGGGTGCTAAGGGTGGAAAGGTCTTGAAAAGTTACTGTGTGAGAAGTGTTAGCTTGCCCACAATTATTCTGAGACTTTCACATGAGAACGCCTCAGAGCAGAAGAGCTTAAGGAAGACAGAGAAGAGTGAGAATGGATAGGTTTAGGAGGGAAGGGAGAAGTGTGTGGCAAGAGGTAAAATAGCAAATAAATACACAGGATTGTGGCTCTTGAGGATACACCTTGTGTTGCCTGATCTTTGGGACAAGGCAAAGCTTTCCTTGAAATATCTGGAGGCCTCATGGCAGTGGTTCTCAATGCTGCAACACTTTACTGAACAGTTCATGCGGTGACCCACAACCATATGATTATTTTGTTGCTACTTCATAACTGTAACTTTTGCCACTGTTATAAATAGTAATGTAAATATCTAATTTGCAGGATATCTGTTATGTGATCTCCCCCCACATACAAAGGGGTCTTGAACCACAGGTTGAGAACCCCTGGCCTTGAGGATAGCAAGTCATCCAGATTGTTTGAATGCAGGAAACAGGAAGAGGAGACAGTAGAAGATACCCCTGATAGCAGAAAGCCAGCAGCAGGAGTTGGCAGCTATAAATTACCTTGGGTCACGTGGGAGGTCTACTGCCGTTCCGAATTTGCTGCCTCCACCCACTGCAATTGTTTGGGGAGGACGTCTTCTATCCTTTGCCTCTCCTGGGTCACCTTTTCTGTCTGAGAGACCCGAGAAGAGGCTGCTTGTCATTGAGTGTGAGAGGGGACACTTAGGTAGGGTGTTCGGGGAACAGAGCTTTTGAGTGAGCTTGCTTTTTGGTTGGTGTTTATGAAAATGATGGCGCCAGGAATTTAGCTTTGCACATTTAGCCAAACAGTTGTCTAAGCTTATCCAAAAGGTATGATATTCAGCTTTTTAGAATGCGGTCACAGTACTGAGAATGATAATATGAGCTGTACTGATGGCTTATGGGTTGAAAAAAAAAAGACCGTCGAGCTGACTACTGGCCTGTGCCTGCCTTTATATCTCTTTTCCTTTGCAGTCCTCATTGTTGTGAGGAGACACCTGACAGAAGCAGCTTAAGGAAAGGCTTATTTTCACTGAGGGCACAGTCTGTCATGGTGGGGAGGTCTTGGCTCCAGGTACTTGAGGCGGCTGGGCATCCCACGCCCACACTCAGGAGGTAGAGGGCAAAGCTTGATGGTGGGTTAGCCCATCGTATTCAGTCCTAGGTCTTTTAGGCAAACACAATGGTGCTACCCACATTAGGGGATTCCCACTTCATCTCAGTCTGGAAACTCCCTCAGACAGGCCCAGGGCATTTTTTCCCTAATGATGCTGAATCTCATCTAGTTTCTAGTGAAGACCAGCCATGATAAGGCACCCCCACCCCCACTCCCACCTCCGCAGCCTTTAACTATGAAGACTTACTTGAAAGAGTGCGCATACATACACCGAAGACGCTGCCCTCTTACTGTGTTTAAAGAGAGTCACAGATTGCTTTAGTAGTAAAAGAGAAAACAGTCCAGGCACGGCCATGTGTTTTTCGGGAACCACTATCATTAGATTTGAGATTGTGTTTAGCAAAGAGGGTGTCCATATGTTTCAGTTATAACTGTATAGTAAAAGTCTGCCTATCGACAGGCGGTGGTGGTGCACCTCTTTAATCCCAGCACTCGGGAGGCAGAGGTAGGTGGATCTCTGTGAGACTGAGACCAGCCTGAGTTAGTAGTTCCATGACAGCCTTCAAAGTCACAGAGAAACCCTGTCTTGAAAAACAAAAAAATAAAACAAAAACAAAACAAAACAACAAGTCTTCCTATCAGGCCTAGAGGCAAAGCACTTGCTGCTCCACAGAGGGTCCAGGCCTAGTTCCCAGAATGCTTTAGGGGAGCTGGTAGCCATCTGCAACTCCAGCTCCAGGGCATCCTACCCATCTTCTCACCTCTGAGGGTGGGCACCAGCATACAAATAAACTTGGGGAACATGCACATACTCCTGAAGAGAAACCCTAACCCTGCCAATCAGTGTTTTACAAATGCCGGTGCCTCAACAAACATTTGAATACAACTTAGAAAAAATAGAACTTTGTTGCTATAATGATAAACAGCACACTTGTTGAGGGTAGAGGTAACTTTATTGTAGAAATCACTTACAAGAGAAAACGGGCAACCCAGATGAGTCAAGTAGCCTTTGCTACCGAACCAGAAGCGGAAAACAGAGGGAATGTGGTTCTGCTGTGGTCTTTTATAAGAACCTCCATACACGCCTCTGGCCATGCCCAAAAGTAGGTGTGGTTAGTGGCGCGGTCCCACCCTTTTCGTTACCACATCCATATGCAACTCTAGAGTGCTAAGTGGCTAATGGCGCAGTCCTAAGTTTCCCCCTACAGAACTTACTAATTTTTTGATACCTTTATACATGTAAATAATGAGTTCCGGTTACACTTATTGTCTTAGTTAGGGTTTCTCTTGTAACAAAACACCATGACTAAAAAGTAAGTTGTGGGGGAAAGGGTTTGTGTGGTCTGCACTTCCACATTGCTGCTCATCATCAAAGGGAGTCAGGGCAGGGCAGGATGCTGGAGGCAGGAGCTGATGCAGAGGCCATGGAGGGGAGCCACGTACTGGCTTGCTTCCCATGGCTTGCTCAGCCTGCTGTCTTAGAGAAGAACCCAGAACCACCAGCCCAGGGGTTGATACCCCCCACAATGGGCTTGGCCCTACCCCATTAATCACTAATCAAGGAAGTGCCTTTGTCTTAAAGTTGATCTTATATAGAGGCATTATCTCCCTTGAGACTTCCTCCTCTCTGATGACTCCAGCTTGTGTCAAGTAGACATAAAACAAGCCAGTACAACTGACCCCTTGTCACCTTGACACACAAGTATCACTACTAAGCTACAACCCTTTCTGTCTTATTCATTCCCAAGATCTCACCTTGAAAGCTCGACAGTCTTTGCAAATTCATTCAGTCCCTTTAAACCAGCCAATCTCTTTTAACATCCAGTCTTTAAAAATTCAGATTCTCTCAACTGTGGGCTCCAGTAAAAATAAAAAAAGATAAATCAAATACTTTCTTCCAACAAGAGGGAAAAACTCAGAATGCAGTCACAACCAAATCAAAGCTAAGTTGAACTGTAACTGCCCAGTGTCTGGGATCCACACATGATGTTCTGGGCCCCTCCAAAGGGCCTGGGTCACCTGTCTGTCCCTGCCATCTGCAGCACACACAGCCTGTCTTCTAGACTCTGGCTGGCTCCGTTCCACTGCTGCTGCTGTTTTTGGTAGTCACCCCATGGTACTGGTATCTCCAGAATCCTGGAGTTCGTTGCAGTAATAGCGCTGTACTTCCAACAATACCCTCTCCTAGGGTCTCCATGGTGCCAAGCCACAACTTCTCTGCATGACTCCTTCAGTCCTAGGCCTTCAACTACCACTGAGGCTGCACCTTCACCAATGACGTGTCCTAGCCTCTTACAGTGCCAAGCTTTATCTGCTATCCATGACCCCTTCATGCCCTCAAAACCAGTACTAACTGGGTAACTCTTACACAACCGCACTACCAAGTCCAGCTGGCTTTGCGAGGTTCAGCCTTGGCCCCCTCTGGAACACAGTCTCTGTGTTCTCCCAGGAAATACTTCTGCGACGATTTCACCCCAACAGTGCTGGTCTCTTCTTAATCACCGCTAATTTCTCATCCTCAGCCAACCAGCATTTCGCATCCCAGTCATGGAGGGTTTCACTTGAGTAGTTCTGGCATCTTGTTAATCACAGCTGACTCTTCATTGTCATTGACCAGAATGACAGAATTTTAAAGTAGCAAGTGGCCCTGATAGCCTTTACATTTCCCTCTGAAACTTCATAAGCCCGGCCTCCATCTTCTGTATTTCTCTCAGCATTATTATCTTCCAAACTCTGAAGGATCATCCCACTGAGCTCTCAACACTCCTAACATTTTTTTTTTCTAGCCTGAAGTTCCTAAGTTCTTTCACAATCTTCCCCTAATCGTGATCAGGTCTGTCATAGCAAAACCCTCCACTCCTGGTACCAACTTTTCATAGTTTTCTACTGTTGTAATAAAACACCATGACCAAAAGGCAAGTTTGGGAGGAGAGGGCTTGTTTGACTTACACTTCCGAGTTGTAGTTCATCACTAAGGGAGCTCAGGACAACAACTCAAGCAGGGAAGAAATGTGGGGGCAGGAGCTGATGCAGAGGCTTTGGAGGGGAGCTGCTCACTGGCTTTCTCTTCATGGCTTGCTCAGCCTGCTTTCTTTTAGAGCCCAGGAGCACCAGCCCAGGGATGGCACCACCTGCAATGGGCTGGAACCTCCCCTGTTGATCACTAATTAAGAAAGTGCCTTACAGCTGGATTTTTAAATTAATTTTTTTATTCTCTCATACATGACATCCCAACCTCAGTTTCCACCCTCTCCACTCCACCTAATCCCCCCATACACATTTCCTCTCTACCCAAGATCCACTCATCCTCCTCCTCCTTAAAAACAAACAAACGAAAACGAACAAACAAACCCAAACCAAACAGACCTCTAAGGGATATCAACTGAACATGGCCTAACAAGTTATAAGAGTTGGCGCGAACCCTCATATCAAGGAAGGACCCAGTAGGAGGAAAAGGGTCCCAAGCATAGACAAAAGAGTTAGAGACACCCACCACTCCCGCTGTTAGGAGTTCCTCCACAAGAACACGAAGCCACACAATCATATATGCAGAGGACCTAACTAACCCATACAGAGTCTGTGGATGCTGCTCCAGTCTCCGTGAGCCCCTACGAGCCCTCCTTAATAGATTCTGTGGGCTGTGGTCCCATGGCATCCTCAAGCCCTCTGGCTCCTACAGTCCTTCCGCCCCATCTTCTATGGGTTCCCCTGGCTCCACCTCGTGCTTGGCCGTGGGTCTCTGCATCTGCTCCCATCAGTTGCTGGATGAAGCCTCTCTGCTGACAATTGGGCTGCGCTCTGATCTATGAGTATAGCAGAATATCATGAGGAATAATGTCATTGATTTTTTTGGGGGGGTCAGGTTATGTTTGTTCCTGCCCTGTTCTCTGGGCTGTCCAACCTCTGGTTCCTGGACAACCAGGAAGTGCCAGGCATGGGTCCCCTCTTGTGACATGGGCCTCAAGTTGGACCAGTTGTTGGTTGGCCCCTCCCACAGAGTTCTGCACCACGGTGACCCCAGAACACCTTACAGACAGGGCCGATTGCAGGCCAAAGGTTTTGTGGCTGGGCTGGATGCATAGTCCCACCGCTGGGAGCCTTGCCTGGTAATAGAAGATGGCCAGTGTTCCCATGCCCACCTACCCCCAGTCCACCCACAAACCTATTCTTTTCCCTGTCCCATGGACATCCATGCAACCCCTCATGGGCCCTGCTTGTCACTTAGCCTCTCCGGGTCTGTGGATTGTAGCACAGTTGTCCTTTATTTAACAGCTGACATCCACTTATGAGTGAGTACACACCAAGTTTGTCTTTCTGGGTCTGGATTACCTCACCCAGGATGATTTTTTTTCTAGTTCCATCCATGTGTCTACACATTTCGTGATGTCATTATTTTTAAACAGCTGTGTAATGCTCCATTGTGTAAATGTACCAGATTTTTCTTTATGCATTCTCTGGTTGAGGTTGTTTTCGGTTTCTTAGAGCTGGGTCTTATGGGGGCTCCTTCCTTTCATGATCACTCTTGCTTGTGTTATGTTGGCATTAAAAAAAAAAGCTGGTGCCGGGCAGTGGTGGCATACGCCTTTAATCCCAGCACTCGGGAGGCAGAGGCAGGCGGATTTCTGTGAGTCGAGGCCGGGCTGGACCGACAGCCTCCAAAACAATACAGAGAAACCCTATCTCGTAACCCCCCCAAAAAAAAAGAAAAGCGGGTACACTCATCTATCATCCTTCCTATCTCTACCAGCTCTGCCATGTTTGGTGCTTTTTAAAAAGAAACTTCAATAAAGGTATAGAAGGCAGTGACAGTGTTCTGAAACCTTGACTGTTTTTCTGGCCTGGCCAAGGACTTTCTGATGGGATTTCTTCTAACATTAGCGGACCCAAACAGTGAATGCGAGAAGGTGGAGTTCGTGAACTTGGTGCTGCTCTTCTGCGAGTTTATCCGCCACGACGTCTTCTCCCACGATGCGTACATGTGCACCCTCATCTCAAGAGGAGATCTGTCAGCCACGGCCTCGGCTGGGCTGCGGTCACCAGTAGGGGAGAGCGCAGACGAACACTACCCCAAGGACCACGATATGAAGCTGGAGGTACACCCCTGGGGGGCGTTGTCCATGCCACACCCCAATAAACTCCCCTGGGACAGTCAGTTCTACTTGGCGATGGAAAGGCAACTGGATTTTAGTTACTTTCTCTCCATAAAGTTTATTTCCGCTCCAGTTGCGAAGGACGCTTGGAATACATGTCTTCTAGAATTTTCTGTGTTGTATAGTTAATGAAAAGATGTGACTGACCACAATTTTTTTCATGAGATTATAATTATTTGTTTTCAGTTTCAGATGTGATTTTTTTTAATATCACACTCCTATGACTCTCACTCCAAGGAGTGTCTCCATACTCTGCTCTTCTCCACATAAAGAGGGAATCCCTCGTTCTTAATAACACATATTTTCTTTGCAAAGTTTAATCTCTTTCTAAAACAGAGAGTAGAATTGTTCTTATGCTGTGGGTATGACTGTGTGCCTTTTTGTCAGGTCCTGGTATTTTAGACATTGCCCCAGATACTTAAAATTTCAAGATAAAATGATTTAGGTGACAACGAGAAACAGTGGAAAACGATGAGACTCTGAGAGTAGTCAAAATACATATTTACTTCAGTTATTTCATGTGAATTTACCAGATAGTCTTATGATGTGTTTAAAGCTGTGGCCATATTTGTTCGTTTTTTAAAGCATCTCATATTCTTCTTAGATCTTTGAGTGTCTCATTTTTTATTTTTTTACTATTGGAAATAGCTCAATGAAAGGAATTGTGTCAAGTTTAAGTTGTAAAGCTTGGTTCTTCCTTTAAGACATCATGGAAAATTAAGGCTTTGTCTTCACAGGGGGACAGAATGTGACTTTAAAACCCCATCCGCGTCTTCAGGCTCCCTTTAACTTCCTTTAGGGAAATAGGCAGTGGCGGGTAGGATATTGTGATATTTGCCGTCATGTTTCAATTTTCATTTCTTAAACTACAAAGTTTACAACGTGGCTCTCTTTTTTTTTTTTCTGGCAATTACCAGGAACACAGTATTATGGCGCACATGGGCCTTGGCTCGGGAACCACTACCATTTTTGATGAAGCAGACAAGAGTGACTTTAAAAGTGACTTTGGTTCTGAGTTTCCAGTAGGTTCAGCCTTTGGTTCTCATTGGCCGTCACCTCACCAGTCGCCACCCCAACTTGTCTCCACTTTTCTGACTTGCCCGTGCATTGGCATGACTCACACTCACCATGTCAATGTCACCCACCCCAAGTCACGGTGTCCTTCCGGAGTCGTTCCTTCTGAAGCCATCCTCAGCCCTGAGTTGCATTGCCTCCTCTGTAAACCATACAGAGCTGACTGGCTTGGACACTTTCATTTTGAGGTCATCCTCCCTGCGGCGTGTGGGGATGCAGCGTCATTAGGATGCTCTTTACGTAAAGAATGGCGTTACGGTTAATTCATTTTTCTACTGCCTCTCAGTATGATGCGTTTTTCATGAACGTTGCTGTTTATGAGGACATCGTTTGGTTGTACAATTAAAAATATTTATCTGTGGATTAATCTTATCAAGTATTACTAAGCATGTGCTTTTGGAGGAAATGCAACTCTTTTAAGTTTGCTTCCATGGCCAGTCCTCTTATTGGTTTGGCCCCTCTCCTCCCCCCCCCCCTCCCCGTCCCCGCCCCACTCACCTCCCCAGGTGTTTTTCATTTTCTCAAGGGGGGATGGGTGGGGATATTTACAGATTTTTCTTGTGTGATTTAATTTTTGAGCATGGGTAAAGTTTCTGTGTCTTGTGTTTGAAGCCCCGGCATGGGGTACAGTGGCGCTTGGTTTTGCGCTCGTCGTTGATGATGTCTGATATTTGTTTTACATGACACAGATTTTCTCCCCCATGCCTGGAGAGTCCTGTGAGGCTGCCCACCCTTCCCTGAGCAGAGGGATGTCAGTCAATGGCGAGAAGCTGCTGAAGAGGGAGAAGCCGAGGGAGCTCATTTTCCCATCGAACTATGACCTCCTCCGCCACCTGCAGTACGCCACCCACTTCCCGATACCTCTGGTGAGTCACGGCTCCACCAGCCGCGGTGATCTCGTTCTGTGGGCCTTCGTGACTGACTACCCTCTGCGCCGTTGCCTTGGTGCTTATCATTTGGATCACATGACCTGTGCACAGATACAGCTTGGATGCTATGGTGTGGTTATTGGTGGCTAATTGCATTTAGTAGAACTCCCTGTATTAACATCCTGTTACTAAAAGGACTTGAGTCGCCGCAAGTCATGTCTTAATGTGTTCCCTACTTTAATTTGAAAGTCAATTGCTGGTTACTTTTTCTTTCTTTTTTTTAACCTGTGTTGTTTGGCTCTACCTTTTGGCATGTTACAGATGAGTCAGAATTTTGGGGCCAGTTGAAGCAATTGGGTGAAAAGCTAAGTGTCCTCTAAAAGGCATGCTTTTGACATTCCTGTGTCCCTTCCATTCTCAAAGGGAATACAGGCGAGAAGGACCAGTTGCTGACAGAGGTTGTGGGTAGGTGGGCTTGACTTTTGGACTTGGTAGGTTTAAAGCTTGGGTAGCAGCTGAGGAGATCGTGGCAGGGTACTTACTGTTGAAGTCTTAAGTAATGAGGTGTTTATCTCAAAGTGAATGTCAGTAATGAGTAGTAGGCTAAGAACTGAGACTTTTTAATTCTTGGGTTAACTGTTTCCTACATGCTATGCTTTGGACACGTGGAAGTTTTGAGCAGTATGCTGCGGATTTCTTTTTTAAAGACTTATTTATGTATTACGAATACAGTGTTCTGCCTGCATGTAAGCTACAGGCCAGAAGAGGGCACCAGATCTCATTATGAGATGGCTGTGAGCCACCATGTGGTTGCTGGGACCCAACTCAGGACCTCTGGAAGAGCAGCCAGTGCTATTAACCGCTGAGCAATCTCTCCATCCCCCAGCTGAGGATTTTGTTAAAGCTAAACATAGTTGATATTTTGGAACATCCTCCAAAATGAGTCACACTCACTAAGTCCATGTTTTAACATCAGTTAAAAACGCTCTCTTTGTGTCCTGGTACTATGCTAAATCTTTACAAAATTCTTTCTTGTTCATCTCATAGTATTAACAATAATTTTCTATGTTTTTTTTTCTGTCTCCAATTTTCAATTCAGCAGAGTAATCTGACAGTTCATTTGTGGTAATGGAGAGATTAGCTTTATACATTATGGATGTTTCTGATACATTCATGGATAAACTATCATGCCTTGGGTTTTTTTTTTTAATATTAAGTGTAAACCTGGCAGTAGTGGCACACAGCTTTAATCCCAGTGCTTGGGAGGCAGAGGCAGGTGGATCTCTGTGAGTTCAAGGCCAGCCTGGTCTACAGAGCGAGTTCCAGAACAGCCAGGGCTACACAGAGAAACCCTGTCTCGAAAAAACAAACAACAACCAAACAAAAGTGTAAAACAATGCAGTGAAATGGTGGGAATAGTTGCGAGTTACATGCACTGGCTGTTGAGAATTTGCAGGTCTGTCTTCTCTGTGCCTCTGGGGTCTGAGCAGGCATCCGAAGTCAGCTTCTTTTTGTGTTGTTCACATGACCTTGTCTTCGTCCCTAGAGGAAAGTGCTGTCTGGCCATGTTCCTTGACAACTGTTGGAGGATCTAATTTTAATTTTTAATAATTTTTGTGTGCTTATGCAGGCATGTAAGGTGTATACTATAGTGTGTGTGTGTGTGCACGCACACGCGCGCACATGCCAGAGTGTACAAGCAGGTGTTTGCATGTGTACAAGCAGGTGTTTGCATGTGTACACACATTCACTAGGGCTGGAGGGGTGTGTCCTACTCTCCCACTCTCTGCCTGTCCCTTTGGCACAGGTCTCGTCTCTTACTGTAGCTGGAATGAGGCTGGTGGCCAGTGAGCTCCAGCGATCTTCCTGCCTCTGCTTCCTACGGTGTTGGGGTACAGGGGTGAGAGGCAGTTCCTGGCTTTGTATGTGGATTCTGGGGCCCAGACTCAGGTCCTCATGATTGCACAGGAAGCGTCTTTACCCACTAGGCCACCTTCCTTGGATCCAGTTTTAATTGGCTTTTGACCTAGTTTGCTTTCTGCCGCCGCTGTGATGAATGCCACCGTCCAAAGCAACCGGGGGCAGCCAGGGTTTGTTTCCTTTCACAGATTACAGGATTTTCTCAGCACGCTCATAGCTCATTTGCTGCCATGCCTCACCCGTGTCTGCGCTGGTAGTGGGGAGGATCTGCTCAGAGCTGGGGCAACTTGTAATGTGGACTGCAGATTCTTTCTGATTGGCCAGGTCTCTATATTTGAGAGATACCGTGGCCTAACATAGGCTGTGTTCCTAGCGTGGCCTAGTGATGAGTCTCTGTCTCTAATAAGACTCTTGACCTAGTGATGAGTCTCTGTCTCTACTAAGACTCTTGACCTAGTGATGAGTCTCTGTCTCCAATAAGACTGTTGACCTACTGATGAGTCTCTGTCTCTACTAAGACTCTTGACCTAGAGATGAGTCTCTGTCTCTACTAAGACTCTTGACCTAGTGATGAGTCTCTGTCTCTAATAAGACTCCTGACCTAGTGATGAGTCTCTGTCTCTGCTTTAAGACTGTTGACCTAGTGATGAGTCTCTGTCTCCAATAAGACTGTTGACCTACTGATGAGTCTCTGTCTCTTAAGACTCTTGACCTAGTGATGAGTCTCTGTCTCTACTAAGACTCTTGACCTAGTGTTGAGTCTCTGTCTCTGCTTTAAGACTGTTGACCTAGTGATGAGTCTCTGTCTCTGCTTTAAGACTCTTGACCTAGTGATGAGTCTGTCTCTACTAAGACTCTTGACCTAGTGATGAGCCTCTGTCTCTACTAAGACTCTTGACCTAGTGATGAGTCTCTGTCTCTGCTTTAAGACTCTTGGGCTGGTTTTGTTCTTCTAATACCTTTGATGTAGATTTTCACTTCCAAAACAGTTTCAATAGTTAATATAATTTAACAGCTCCCTCATGTTGTTAAAAACATACCTATGTATTTGCAACCCCCCTTTTAAAATTAATTAGGGGTAGGGTCTCATTCAACAGGCCAGGATGGCCTGCAATTCACTTTGTAGTCCCTGCTAGTCTTGAACTCATAATGACCCTTTTGCCTCAGCCTACAGGGTGCTGGAATTAACCACTGTGATCCACAGTTCCTGTTACCGTAAACCTTTTATAACTGAAAGTTATTATGTGTTGCAAAAAAAATAAATAAATCAGATGTTAAGAGCAGGAGTACTGACTAGAACACTTACTAACTCTCCCAGGGGTAGGTTAAGAATGAAGACAAGGCAGGTATTTTGATGTCTTTATTTTTTAGGCTGCTGAAGGGCTCCCTGGCAATGCAGATGCAGATGACGTGGCATATTTTCATCAGGAATGCAACCATTGAAGTGAGCCTCCGAGTCTTTGCCATGGCTCTCCTCACTGTGGTCACCCGGGTTGACCCTGGTTCAGGATGCTGTTAATTTTCCTGTAAAACAGTTGGGCTGAGGAATATCAGCAGCCATTGGGAGTGCAGTGTTGGCTTGCACTGAGAAAAGGACCCCCACAGGGACCAGCCTTGTGTTTTGCTAGTTGATCAGCAACTTCTATTACTAATTATCTTCTTTTGTCTTTGAAAACTACGACCAGCCTTGCAGTTCAGTCGGAAAGAAGGGCTGGCATGCCAAACCCCCCCTGTATTTCACAAGTCGTTCTCACATCTTGATTTTTCATTCTGAGGCTTAGTCTTTTTAGGTGAGGCAAAAGTCTCAGTGACCTTCAGACGAAATGCTTTTGAGAGATGGTAGTACAAGATTGGATCAAAACACAGATTGGACACAGCCAGGAGCAGCGTGGCCTCTTTGGCTTTGAAGAGGGAGATCCTCGTCGAGCAGTCTGTTATGACCTCCGTCTGGCTGAGGGTGTATGGGATCCTGACGGCGTGGTAAGGGACAAAGCATATGATGTAACCCGCTGTCACCAAAAGGATGTTGACTAGTGCCGTTTTCACATTCGGGTAGTCTGCGTCATCCCTGTTTCTGTAGAGTTGCCTAATTACAAGGAAGTTGGATATCAAAATGATGGCTGAGAAATTTAAAAATATTGCCACACATATGAAGTTTGTTAACAAATGCCAGTTTCTCCCAAACTCCTTTTTAAATTCCATGCAACCCACGTTTGACTTCTCTTGGATGTCCTTGATGGGGATCACCATGTTGGGCACCATTATAAGAAGCACCATGAGCCACACGACCGTCGATATCATCTTGGCAAATCCAGGTTCTTGTATGCGGTATATTTTGCAGCTGTGTATTAACTGAAGACATCGGTCAATGCTGACGAAGGCGAGGAAGATGATGGATAGGTACATGTTGATGTAGATGAGGCAGGCTGTTACTTGGCAGTGGAATATCTTTAGCTTCCAGGGCGCCACCCCCAAGTCAACAACAATTTTTACTGGTAATGCCAGAGTGAGCAGGAAATCAGCGGTGAGCAAATTAATTAGGTATATGCTCACACACCTGTGATTTGTGGTTTTCTGCATAAAAGCCCACGTTGCGAAACAGCTTCCAATGATCCCAACGAGGAAAACCAAGTAAAAAAAATAGGTAAATGGTTCCAGATCTCTGTAAACTGGACAGAACAGTGAGCTATTTGTCATCTTCAGGGAGAAGCTTGAATTCAATAATTAAAAAAAAACAAAAAAACAAAAAATCCAGTGCTCTGTTAAAAAGAGGAAGAGGGAGATGTTAGTCACTAAAATCAGAAAATAACTTTCCTTAAAAACATTTGTTCTCAAAACATCACGGTCTTCCTAGTTTCTAGGAAGAGTTTCACTGGGCTAGTGGGAACATCCCAGATGGGTTCCATGCTCCCATTGTCTGATTTCTGTGACTTTCAGGAAATCCCGAGTAAGTTTGCTTTGGGGAGGGGATGCTTTTGGCCTTGTGGGTTTGTGGTGTATAGCCCTCTGCTACTGGCTGAGGTGAGATTTCTTTGCAGAGGAGGCAAATGACCGGAGGTTCTGGGAAGTGGAGAGGGGAAGGGGCTGCTGTGGTTTTGTCTGAAATAAGATTTCGGTGTGGCTGTCTGCTTTCTGCTTTTCTTTTTGTAGGTTTCGTAGCTTATGCTGCAAGAACCTAGGCTGTTAGGAGAAAAGAGATGGCAGCCAATGGTAGAAAGCTTTTTATATTGTTATTTTAAAAGCAGGCCTTCTGTTGTGAATTTAATCTCTATTTCCAGTGGGAAGAGGTAAAGGGTTACTAATGACTCTGATTTTGAGTTGGTGCCAACTCTCCCTCTCATCATACTCCTGTTTCATGGCGGTGCAGACCGGTGAAAGCCTGTGGTGTGGCCTCCAGCCATGCGTGGCTGGTGAGCACTTTAAATGGTGAATGTATTAAAGATTTTATTTAGTTGCCATATTTAGCTCTGAATACCCATGTAATGTTTTTTTGTTGTTGTTATGCTTGCTATGTTAGTGAAATTGGTTTCTTTGCACTTTTTTAAAAGTTTACCTAAATAGAAAAACTTGTCTCGTTGGAGTTTGACAAATATTTTTGTCCAACATGATGGCTTTACCTATTTCTTTGGAAGTGTTGTTTTGAATAGTTTTATGGAAGTGTGTTTTAAAAGCTTCTATATTTAGTTGGTTACAATATTTCCCAAGGACGACCAGTAAATCTGTATTAAAACGTAACTTTATTGGACCTGTTGCTACTAATTTATAATCCCAGCATGCAGGAAGAATACTGGTTTAAATTCCTTCTTGGCTAAATGGCAAGGATAGGCTGGTATCCGTGAGACCTTGGCTCAGTCTAAAGGAAAACAAAGCAGGCAACTCTGAGTTTCTGTCAGACCCACCACAGCTGAGCCTGGTAATGACGAGCACATTGTCACGCTCCTTCCAGGGAGAGAACACTGCTTGACTTGTGAGCCCAGGTTAAACTGAGCTCCCTTTGGTGTGGTTTAGTGTGGCACCCATGTGCAGGGCCACACGTGGTACCCTGTGCTATGTCTCTTGATGTGGGCAATCCATTTTCATGTTAAATAACATTCCTTTTTTTTTAAAAGTAAAGTTAAAAAAATATCACTTCCATAAAGCGAAACTATGTGGAATTTCCTGAATGTCCCAGAAATCAGATGGTGAAAAACCCAGGCTTCTCAGGCTCTGGAGTTTCATCAGTAGCAAAGTCAGACATAACCTTACAGAATGTCCAGAGTTTACTGACTGAAAATGGAATGGCTCAGCAGCAGTAAAACCCCTCTCTAAATCAAACAACTTCTGTCATCTTACTCAGCTTTATCTTCTCAAGTATTTAATGATACAAAGTATTTACTATCATGCATGTTCATGGCTTATGAGTGTGGGTGGGCCTCGGCGGGCCTGTGGGGGACAGTCAGTGGGCAGACAGCTTTGTGGGGTCAGCTTTCTCCTGCCACCATTTTGGGAATTCTGGGATGAACTTAGATCTACTCGTGCACCTAATTACACCCTTTCTGGCTGAGCATCTAATGGCCCCTCTGTGTTTGTCTTGGAATGATGCAGTCATTGAAAGTAAGTTGATAAGAAAGTTTGGTCTTAAGTGTCACTCTTCTCTTTTCCCCAGAGGAGTTAGGACTTTTGGGGTTCACTCTCATTCTGTACCAACTGTAATGAAAAATTTAAAGCACTTACTATTTGTGTTTGATGAGTGTCAATTTTTTTTTAATAAAACATTTATGAGTCCTGGTGTGTGGTTGCTGTAATCTGAGGCACGCCAAGTTTCAATCCAGTGCTTGGATAGCTGGCAAATTACAGAGCCCCAATTCCATCCCCGTCATATTTCCGAAGCCACAGTAGTGTCAGTGATGACACTCATCCTAATGATTAATGCTGTAGGGACCGATCCTTACCCGAGTGTTGTGTGGCAGGAATATCCTTAGCAGTTTTCACATCAAACAGCTGAATAAACATCTTAGCTTTAACTTTACTCCCAAACACTCTAGAAATATGAGAAGCTGTGCAGTGGAGTGGAGTCTGTCTCTCTCTCTCTGTCTCTATCTCTGTCTCTGTCTCTGTCTCTCTCTCTCTCTCTGTCTGTCTCTCTCTCTGTCTCTCTGTCTCTCTCTGTGTGTGTGTGTTCATACTTATGTGCATGGGTACGCATACTTATATGTGGTTAACTTTAGGTCTTTCATGTAAAGTTCTGTAAACTGTCAAAGTTACCATGACTGACTTCCCCCTAACATTCCCTGATGTCTGTCTTTGCTTTCACTGCTGGGCTTGAACTCTTGCACACTTAGCATGATAACCCGTAAGGGATCCACACCTCCATCTCCCCTAATCCCGAGTCTCTCTTTAGATGAGTCTGCACCATCTGTGAGTAAGTCCCACCCATCTCTGTACTTAAGCCGGGAGCTTTAATAATGGGTGGATTCTTTATTGGTGACTTCTTTTAGTCCTCATACCGACTGAGGAGACTGCAAAATGCTGGAGATTTTTGCAACTTGTTTGAGCAAGACGAGGATCCGTACTTGCCGATTGTTCTCTGGGCTCTTAAGCTTTCTCCTTCTTCCTCTTTGTGAGTCCTGCCTGCAGACCCTGGGCCTGAAGGACACCCTTCATGTCTGAATGCCACACCACACGTCTCTGACACTTCCTTACGGGCACTTCAGATGCTGCAAACCACTAGTAATTAGTTAACTGGTTTCTGTGAGTGCCCTTTCTTTGGCTTAAACAATTACATGGCAAACTCTCGTTTTATTGGCAAGGCATATGGTAAAGAGAAGTATTATAGGATAGTCTTGAGTAGTATTCTCTGTCATCAGAACTGACCATCTATTATTCCAGAGTGGGGTAACCAATGTAACTAATGCTGGAGTGGTTTGCATTTGCTTCATAGCTGAAAACTTTGTGTATGTTGATCCGCAGGCAGAATTGTAGCATAGCAACATCCCATGCTCCCTATCGCAAGTCTGAGAGCTAAGAGCTTGATAAACATTGTGGCAATAGCATCTGTGGCACGCTCAGCAAGTAGGCACACTCAGAAAGTGGGCACACTCAGCAAGCAGGCACACTCAGCAAGCGGGCACACTCAGCTAGGAGGCACACTCAGCAAGGAGGCACACTCAGCAAGCGGGCACACTCAGCAAGGAGGCACACTCAGCAAGCGGGCACACTCAGCTAGCGGGCACACTCAGCAAGTAGGCACACTCAGCTAGCACTGTTCAACCAAAGGAAGAATGGAAATTAAATGTCTCCTTGGTTCTTTGTCATAGGTTTGCTCATTCCTTAGGGGGTAAAACAAAAACAAAACAGAGCTGAACAGAACCTTTGTAGGTTTTCCGGGGGAGTCATGGTGGACATGCTTTGAAATTTGCTAATGTAGGAGGGGTGGAGAGGACTGTCTGGTTAGGACCTCTTGGGAAGGTACACCATGGCGCTCCCTGTCTAGTGAGAAAAGCAGATAGCTCAAGCTATTGTTGTCTGGAGAATTAGTCTAATTTGATGTATATGTTCGCGCGCGCGTGTGCGTGTGCAGAAGATGCTGATAGCAGCCCACAGCTCAGCTCTAATTACAGTCTAATAGTTGTTGCCGCCCGACAGCCTTGTGACTTTTAGTTCTTTTCTGCTTCAACACTGAAAAACCATGACTTTGGTTCCCCTGGCGCAAACTCTGAATTAGCTATCACCAAAAAGGACCTACCTGGTGGTGTCTTCTCTGGCTGGAGCAGACCTGGATCTGGTCTTCAGAGAGTCATGAGCTGATGAGCCGTTTAGTTAGCCGCAGTGGCAGGCCCATTTTGCAGGGTTGCCTGCTGAACTAAGAATTTCCTTTCCTTTTTGTGTGGTTTTAAAATGTTACAGATTGACGTAGATGAAACTGTGGTTTGCAAATGGCTTAGGCTCTGTGAAAGTCTCCCGAGGAAGTTTTTTTTTGTTTTTGTTTTTTGTTTTTGTAAGGAAACAGTTTTCTCCACCTTAAGTAACTCTAATCTGTCAGTTACTGTTTTAGAGAAAATATTTTTCATTAATCCATTATAAATACCTTGCCTGCTTTTTCTTTTGTTATTAGAAGTACCTCAGACTGTTCTGCTTCGTTGATAGCTTAAAAAAATATCACTGTTTTAAAGACACATGACAGCCTTAAGGAATCCGCTGCCTCTTCCCACCGAGCAGGGTTGCTCTCAAGTTGTCACCCAGACAACGTGATGAACCGAGGCCTGTATATAACAAGTTGTACTTTCTGCTGCGTGATTAACTGTTCCCCTGCAATGACACATGCTAGCTAGTGTTCTGAACTGAGTCTAGCTCTGAGGTGGCAGCATGCCCCGCAGCTTCCTAGTCTGAACAAAGAGTTAAGCCTCGTTAGTGATTGGCTTTATTTTTCTTTCTGAGTTGCTGGAGATCAAGACTTTGAGCATAGTTAACTTAGAGCGAGGGTAGCATTTATGAAAAATAACATGAGCTTCTGCCCCAAATATACTTTGATACATTCATTTGCTGGGATGAATATGAATTTTATTGTGATATAGATATACGTATAAATATAAGTATTATGATAAATATGCCAGTACATAGTTAATTGGTAAGTGCCAAGGTGTGGCCTCTGTAGGAGAGACATTTGCAGGAAAGAAAGTTGAGGTATGAAGTCCGAGCTCTCATTCTCTGGGCGTGAGTGTGAGGCGAACAGAGTTTAGAGGTGGAATTGCTCGCAAACTGGTTAGTGAGTAGTTTTTGTGAGATATGAAGGGAAGTTGGGATAAAATAACTTCTGGTGAAGCTTTTCTTTATTTTTGGGTTGCTCTTATTATCTGTTTACTTCCTTGCTTTAGTTTAGGTTTAGATATTCAAAAGGTGAAAGCAACTAACCGTTGTTAAAATTCTAAGACCGCTCGCTGTTGATGGCTGGGTTGCCGTGTGAGCAAGCTTGCATGGCTGGGTTGCCGTGTGAGCAAGCTTGCATGCCTGGTTCTCTGTGCCTGCACCTCACTCCTGGACAAGTAGGAGCTAATCTGTCTCCTCTTGGGGTTTATGAGGCAGGATCTTGCCACATAAACCCAGGGTGGCCTCAGACTCACAGGAATCCTCCTGCTTGAGTCTCCACTGCAAAGATCACAGATATGCTGCAAAGATCACAGATGTGTGTCATCATTGTCTGGCAGGAACTTGTTTTGTTATAGTGAAACTAAATTTTATTTTTCATTTTTGGTTTTGTTTTGAGACGTGGTCTCATTACATAGGCAGGCTGGCTTGAGGCGCCAGATCCTCCTGCCTCTGCACTCTTGAGCTTGGGGTTACCAATCCATCTGCATTTCCATCTTGAGAATAAGTTCTGACCGTCTGAGCTGTTGGAGAATGCTTTTTCCTTTATTGCCCTTGGTAAGTTTTAAATTTTAAGTATTTCAGACACAGGTGTTGTATCTATATCATTTCAGTCCCCCGTCTCCCTTCTCCAACTCTCCCTGTGTCCCGCATTCATCTTGAATTCATTACTTCATTTAATAATTATTTTATACACGTGTATGTGCATGCATGCATGCATACATACATACATACATATTCTTCTTGAATCCATTTGGCATTGCTTGTAACTGTATATTTAGAGCTGATTGCTTGGGATCAGATAATTCACCGGGCAGCTCCTCCCTTGAGAACACCGATTCTTCTCTTGAAGCAGTCATTAGTGGCCTGGTGGTGGGGCCTTGTGATATTTTCTCCATTCCCCACTGGCGTGTCACCTGGTGGTGTCATTATGAATATAGCTTCCTTGTCATACACCGAAGACACTGTCTCCCAGCAGATGTCCTGGTCCCCTGGTGTTCATATTGTTTACAGTTCCCGTTCTGAGATGGTCCCCGAGCCTTAGTTTAGGGGTTGTGTTGTAAATGCGTTAATTGGGGCTGCACACCCCGCAGCCAGCTAACTCTTTATTTTGACAGATTGTGGCTTTCTCTAATAAGCCTCTGTCTCTGCTGCAAACTGAAGCTTCTCCGGTGTGGGGTGTGGAGGGCACTTACCTCTGGGCAGAAGGGTACGTATTTAGAATGCAGTTAGGAATTACACTGGTTTATGAAGCTAGCAGTGGTAGGTTCTCCCTTTAGAGTCTTATGACCTCAGCACAATTGGTTAGGTTTGTAGCCCCAGGCAGGGTTTCTTCCTGTCGAATTAGCCTTAAAGCCCGGCTGGAAAGCTTTGTTTACACATCTCTGAGTGCTGCTGTCTTACCCCTGGGGATATCTTGCCCTGCTGGCCAGCTTGTGGTTTGTAGGCCTCATTGCCAAGTGGGACCATTGATCCATTGGCTGCTTACTCAGCATCTGAGGATCCTTCAAGAGTCCGAGGAGGCTTCTGGGTCAGCCCCAGGTCAGTCCCTCCAGCTCCCGCTTCTGAAGTGTGTGGTGTCTTCAGCAACAGGGTCTGATGTGCAAGTTTCGGGAGACAGTCAAGACCAAAAGCAAAAGCCTGTAATGTCTGGGACATTTCCTTCCCTCTAACAAGCAACTATCCGGGAAGTTCCCCTCGGCTGAGGCCGCTGTCTTTATTAAATAGTCTGTGGCTCTCGTGGGACAGGGGCGTTATCACCTCACATGCTGTAATGTCACTCAAACTGCACAGAGTGTTTATGTGTATGTACACGCACATTTGTGTATGCTGTATCTGTTTTTCATGTAGAGATAAAATAATGTTAGCCGACGGCTTTAATGAGCCTCCTTAGTGCTCCCTCCTTCCCTTTCTCTGTTATTTTGTTTATGTCCCCTTGCCAATCCCCCCTCCCCGCTTCCGGTTTCCCCCTTCACAGCACCTGGGTTCTCCTCTCCTCCCATCTAGAACTCTGGATACTAAGTTTTTAACGCAGATGTCTCATTGCAGTCGCCTGAAGTGCCTTCTGTCTCGTCGAGGATAAATTATTTTCAGATTACGCTTTAGTAATGTTCCAGGAAGCTGCATGTCATCACTCACCCACTGCTATTTCAGAAACCCGAGTGGGAAGAAACAGGGTGAAGGCATTTTTCCCCTTGTTTTGATCATGGCGACACTTTCATTTTAAGAAACGATCATTTTGTTCTCAAGTTTGTTTTGCGTGTGTAAAATGCTAATTTGCCCCACAAGTGGATCTGTGGTCCCCTCTGCTACCCACAGCGTCATTTAAAATAAGTTATGCCATTTCCGTCTCTTGCCCCAGCTCCTGCTACGCCCTCCCTCCCTTTCAAAGTCATGACCTCTTATTTTTAAATGGTCATTGTTGCACCCGTATACCCAGCCTACTGAGTCTGGCCTTGCCTGTGTGTGGGCACGAGTCCAGGTCTGACCACTAGGGATTGGACAGTTCATGTAGGAGCGTGTCCCTGAATAACAGGGATTCTCCCTCTTAGTGGCGACTGAACCTGCAGTTCTTCATCTAGTGACGGGGCCTCGTGGATTTCCCTTAGCCACACTAGCATGTCAGCTGGTGTTGTTAAGTGTGTTGGTTTCACTTAAACAGCCATACCGTTAGCTCATAGACAGCTTTCCTCTGTCATATCTAGGGGGCACCATTTAGCAGCAGGCATCCTGGTCCTGCGGCTCCTATCTTCCCTCCAAGGTGTTCCTTGCAGATGTGTCCATCGTGGCTGGGCATGCCACAGGCTACTTCCTCTTTGCATTTTGACAGCTGCGGACCTGTGTAGCAGTCTCTGTCTGTTGCAAAAAGTAAGGGAATAACTTTTTTTTTTCTGATGGTGGGCCAAGAACTGTATTTAATTTGTGGGTGTATGGATAGCTATTTAGAATGTAGTCAGACATTTTGCTAGTTTAGGGAAATGATAGTAGGGTTTCCTTTAGGGTGTTGTGACCTCTTCAGCATGGGTAGTGCTTGCTAGGTTTACAATTGCAGGCAGACATTCCTTCCCATTAAGAGGGCCTTAAAGTTTAGACAGCTGTTGTTAGTTTCTAAGATAAAAGTACCAATATTGCATTGTTACGGATATCTTGCTGGTGCGGTCATTGCTGTGGTCTGTGGGCGTTACAGCTAGGGAGGACTATGGATTACCTCCGCTGATGATATGAAAGCCAGTCTGTGGAAAGATCATTCCAAGTCCTGTATCCCCAGTGTGTGTTGTCTTCAGCAACAGGGTCTTATCTTCAGCTTTGAAATTTGCCTTTAGGGGTCTCTACCCCAGAGCTAAGACAGAGGTGGTCCAGAGGGTCAAGGGGAAGGGATGAGAGTCACAAGCACAGGCCCAGGTAGTAAACTCAACCCCAGGAAGGATGCATTTCCCGTACAGATAACAACCTGCGATTGCAGAGAAACCCGGGGCCCAAGAGATGATTCCAAGGGGGCAATGTTTGCACGGTTGTGGGGAACCAGGACACTGGAAAAACTGCCTCGGTGGGGCTCTAAGAAATGGGGCTTTGCCCGTGTTCAGGGATGAAAAAAAATCACTAAAGCAGTAGTGTCCTCCTCTGCACAGGAACACTGAGCCGCTGCCTCCTCGTGCCTGGAGCAGGCTGACGGGACGTGAGCATCTAAACGTTAGTCTGACCGACCGTAAGAGAACAGCAAACTTAACCATGTGCTGCTGTTGTATGTTCTGTCTGTACCTTTTTTTGCTGATTGGATCTTCTGTGGCTCATTACATTTTCTGGTTTTGTTTTTACTGCCTTTTATTTTCATTTTGAAAAATCTTGTCAGACAAAAATTACCATCTAAAATCCTTTCTCAACTTAAAGCATTTTTTTTTCCTTCCACTTTCTTCCCCAGATGTGTTTATACCAACACTGTGTAGTTGTCTCAAAGACGTACCCGGAGCCCTCAGACCTCTCTGCCCGATTCATCCGCCACGGCCACACTGACTTTTTGTCTCTGTCCTTCACGATTATTATGTCTTTAGTTGGCATCCTGGGGTTGGTGGACACAGTTAACCTGTGGGAGCTGTTTAAAATTTCAGTTACACTCTGAAGGAAAAGGACTTTGGGCTAATTTGATGCTTTTAATTTATGTGAGCACTCACTTATAAGACAGGTTGGTTCCATATAAGCAATGTGAAAAGACAATCACATGTAGACAGTGCACATACACACAGCCATACAAGATGAAAGAATAAAACACCCAGAGGTTTTGTAGTTCCTAATTAGATCTGTCAGGTTTTTTTGTTTTGTTTTGTTTTTTTGGTTGTTGTTTTTTTAAGTCTGCGTCTGTGTGCAATAGCATCAGACATTTCCCATCACGTTCAGCCTCTTTCCTTTATCCCTTTTAGGTATGGTCACTCTCCAAACCCAGAGCTGAGAGCGGCCTTGAATTCCCCATCACCCTGCCTCCTCTACCTTCCAAGTGTTCTGTAATATGTACTGGCGTGTTGGTTTGGACCAGCATCTTTTTATTTAATGGTTCTTTTGCAGGGATGTACTTTTGTAGAACTGTAACCCACATGCCATTGGACTCCAGCAGCCAATTGCTGACCCAAAGGAAGCAGTGACATTTCATCTATGATCACACAGTCGTAGGAACAAGCAGATGCGTGCTCACGCATGCGCTCACCTAAAAGATAACCCTTGCCATTTGGGTGTAGTGGGGAGGGTGTGATAATCTGTTTGTAATTTGCGTAGTGCCTCTTTAATTTTATTTTTGAGGTTATGATATAATTGCATTTTCCCCTTCCCTCAAAACCCCATGTACCCGAGGCTCTCAATCCGTGGGTAGCAACCCTTTGAGGGTTGGATGATCCTTTCACAGGGCATGTCAGAATATCCGAATGTCATACATTTAGATTGTGATTCATGAAAGTAGCAAAATTACTGATATAAAGTAGCAACAAAAATAACTTCATGGTTGGGGGCCACCACAGCATGAAGTATGGTGGAGTGTCAGGAAGGTTGAGAGCCACTGACACACACCTCTGCCTGATCTTCACGTCTCGTTTGTCACTGACTGTTATTGCGTGCTAATGTGTATTTGTAGGTACACAGATAACCCTAAACATAGCCCGCTCAGTCCCTGCAGTATTCTCTGCATGTACGTTTCAAGGCGGATACTTTTGGCACTGGGACAATTGTCTTAGACGCCACAGTTTTTTGTAACAAGTTTACTAGTTGCCATACCTAGTGTCCAAAGCTGTGGGTGTGGCATTAGGTGGGGGCTGACACAGGAGTTCACTGCAAAACCGGGATTAGATTTGAGCCAGTCTTTGTCTGCCTACCGTGGTGCGAGCCTCGAGATTCGTGGGAGTTCTCACACTAGTGGAGTTTACAGAGATGTAGCATTCCCCTTCCAGGATGTTCCTTGAGGATGAGCCTGGGGTTTGCTTTCCCTGGGTCAGTTCAGACCTTGTTCCTTCCCAATTCTTGACTCCTGGGTTCAGACTGGCTACTTAATTGCCTAGTCCTGCTTCACCTCGGCTAGCTGTGTGGTCAGAACAAAGGGACTGTCTCAAAGGAAAGATGCTTCTTTCTGTTGCTAAGAACAGAGGGTAGAGGCTGGGGAGGTGACCCAGCAGGTGAATGCTACTGGGAGCTCTTTTCTGAAGCTCTTTGGTTCGCGTCACTCAGGGGACCCTGTGTGATTTTGGTACGCATCATTGCGAATGCTCTGTGATATGTTTCCTGATTCCTACCCCACATACTCCTTTCACAAGAACACCTTAAAACATGTTGGCATGCTTGAATTGGTTAAGCATGGAAATGGGAACTTTATTCAGCTAAAGAAAGCAGGGAGATTTTAATGAAAAAAATTTTTAAAGTTTTTCTGGGCTGTTTTTGAACACCCTTTTACTAAATATCTGCATTCTAGATGTTGCAGGATGGCCACTGACATATCAAGGTTGTAGCCTCGGGTGTGTCTTTATTTGATTTACACAACGAGTGTAACTCAGCCATTAAAAAAATGGTATCATGAAATTTGCAGGCATATGCAAGAAATAGGGGGGAAATCATTCTGAGTGAGATATCCCTGACTCCGAGAGACGAAAATGCTATGTATTTGCTTATATGTGGCTATTAGCTGTCAAGTCAATGATTACCAAGCTACAGTCTCCTACCCATTGAACCACAGAGGGTAGATAGAGTAAGGGACTGGGGGGGGGACCAGATAGATCTTGTCAAGAAAGGGAAATAGAAGGGGAAATTAAGTAGGAATGAGTAAGAAGGGTTAAGGGAGGGCATTTGGGGGAGAGACTACTAAAAGGTTAAAATTAAGGGGCATTTTAAGGGGTAGTATAGAAACAGTAGGAACTTTCCGATTATATATACATGAAGGCAATCTAAATGAAATTGCCAAATACTGGGGGAGACAGAGTCCCAACTGGCCATCTCTTGCTGCCAAGTGAAGCTTCCACTACCAGGATTAGATTTCATCTAATGGAGCTGTTGGCCAAAGGAGCCCCACAGGAATCCCCAAACAACCCTGGCTGTTGCCATGACTGTAGGTTATTCTCCACAAACCGACAGCGATGCCTCATTGCTGAAGGCAATGCTTACACAGCTCACTGAACACGGGAAGATCGAGCTGGTGCAGGCAGGTGCTCTGCAGCTCTCAAAGGAGAGATGTGAACACCACACCAGCCAGACACCCTTTATCAGCGGCGCACTGCTTCCAAAATATGCTAGTGCGATGTTAGTGCAAAGCCTGGGAGAGTAACACAGCAATGGTAGGTTTGGCTCAAGGCCCAGCAATGTAAAAAGCCCCATGATTTTACACGTCCTATAAAAGCCAGTAAGCATTTGGCTAGAGCTGAAAGACTTGACTCTTGGTGAGACGCAAGCTCTCAGCCCGCCATCCTCTTTCATTTTCCTGTCTTCCCATCGCTGTTGACATCGACGTTTCTGCCATTCGAGCGAGCGTCTGTGGGCACTCTGCTGTAGCTTCCTCTACAGAAGCTCAGCCCCTGTAGTGTTCCCTGTGGCCTATGCAGCTCCTGGTGTCTGGAGAGTGCTTAGGTTAACCCTCAGTTGCCAGTGCTCTGAGCCTTCGTTTCTGGTTGTTCCCCAGCACCAAATATTAGTTCTGGCGGTGCAGGAATTGCTACTTTGCCATGGTTTCTAATCTCCTTATCCGCCTGACATTCCCGTTTCCTAAAATCATCTCTCCTGTCAGTCGTCTGCTTTGTGTTAGTGGTTACAAAGGTGTTGCTTGGTCCTGCAATTACAGTGACTTTCCAAGGACAAGCCTCGTTTGTATTGTGGATTAAAGAGGAGGGTGTGTGTGTGTGTGTGTTGGAGAGATAGCCCGTGCAACCGAAGCCTTACTTAGTACCTTTCTTCCCCTTTTACGTCTGCTTCAGTAGCCTAGCAGGGGGAAGTGTGCTCGGGCTGTGGGAATTCTGAAGGATAGTAAACACAGCCCCCTTCCCATCACCACATACAGCGAGCTTAGTCCCCAAGACCTTCTGTTGGATCTCGGTGACCTTTGTTCCTTTCCGATCACTGGAAGTGTGAGGCTCTTCAGGAGGTAAGGGATGATGCCCAGCAGAACACAGAAACCTTCCTGGTTCTGTTTAGGCTGTGTTTGGTCTAAGGTTTTAGTAGGAGTCAGAGCACATGCCATACTCATTTGGGAAGGTCGGAGACAAACAGAATGCTTCCATTTTCTGTGTAACCCCTTCCTTGCACTGAAGTGTGACAAAGCATACTGTGCTGACCCATGTGGGCTTGTGAGGAAATCTAGGGGGTGTCCCTCCACACATTATTAATAAAAAAAAATCCCCGATGGTTTTGAAGACAACTTGTTTATTGGTACATACAGAGTAGAAAACAGGAAGTAAATGTGGAAAAATATGTAGCAGGACCATCTGAAAGATTGGGTGTCTTCTAAGAAGCTAGTTAATAGCAGAGGAGGGTTTAGTTTTGCTTATTCGTAGACCAGAAACCACACACTATTCCTCCATTCACTCAACTTCTAAAAAAAAGTGCAGATGTGCGTGGACTTCGATTTTACATCAAAACTTTGAATTTCGTTATACTTACTATTTTGAACTTCAGACTTACTATTGAATCATATTGCCAGGTAGGTTACTTATCATCATAAGCATGCATTTTTACGTATAGTTCTTAATTACCATGTAACAACGTGAACAGTACTCGGAAGGGAATGGGAGTTCACAGAGTGTCTGTGCTTTCATGAACTGTGTTCCCCCTTTTGCTTTTGGAAGCGTCGAGGTCATTCTGGACCTTTAATGAGATGTGTAGCTTCTTACTCAAGACTTCTCTAAATGGCTGGCATAAGAAGAAATAAATAATGGGGTCCAGACATACGTTGGCAGCAGAGAGCAGCAGAGTGAATTCTTTCACGTAGAGCAGGGTCTCCTTCGACCGGCAGCTGTAGTGAGGTTCCGTCTGACTCTTCGTGTAAGGGATTCTGGCAATGTGGTAAGGCACAAAGCAGACGAAAAATACGAGCACGATGCTGAATATATTGCGGCTGGATTTCCTTTTGACGGAGATGGAATTCCTCCTGGACTTGAGGTGAGACTTGAAGATTTTCCTTGTTATGGCCGTGTAGAAGAAGATTAGGAGGAGAAACACAACCCAGAAAATGCTCACGAAGGCGTAGTTAGACGCCTTGTGCCACCTCCGCCCCAGCTCGTTTTTGAGTTCCATGCACTGTATCTTCGTCACCTCCTTGACGCTCTGGTTTGTCAGAATGATGTTTGGGACAGCGAGGAGAAGCATGAGCGCCCACACAACCACGGACAGCAGTCTGCTGTAGCTTACTGACTGGACCACAGAAGTCCAAAGGGGCTTCACAATTTTGTAGTACCTGTCGAAGCTGATGAGCCCAAAGAAGACGATGCTAACGTACATGTTGACGTAGAAGACCACGGCAGAGACCCTGCACACGAACACATTCACCTGCCAGGGGCCCAGGCCTGAGTCACCAAGGACTTTGAAGGGGAAAGTCAGGCCCATCAGAAAGTCAGCGGCCACTATGTTCTTGAGATAGATGATAAAACTCTTAGAGCTGGGCACATAAAAGAATATCCATCCCGATATCCCGTTGAGGAGGACGCCGGTGACAAAGACCACGCAGTACAGCACGGGGATGATCTGCTGCGTGATCAGGGTGTTCCGGGAGCACGGCTGGGTCGGAGGCTCTGTGGTGGTTGAATTGGCCATCTCGCAACTTCAGGAGGCACGGGGATCTGGGTAGAGAAGCAGACTGGTTACTTAAAAGGGCAGTCTATGGCCTTCAGGGTGTTGGTGACCGATAGCTGACAGAGCGGAGGGACGTGAATACGGTGAAGCCCGCCAAGACTTTGGGACCATTTTATTCCCTCTTGTGGAGTTCGTGTCTTCCTTCACGAGGAAAGAGTCACTGAGCATGTACGGGGGCTCTCGTTAGCACACAGGGCTTTCGTCTGAAGTCTGAGGAACTACTAATTTGAATATAGGCCTGAAAAAGTGGCAGCCATGAAAACAGTGTGCTTTATCTGCAACTGCTTTTTAATGTGTCGGTCTTCTCCCTGTATATTAGTTTTGTATACAGATACAATTATGAGCTCATGAATCGAGTCGTCATACCCCATTGGAATGAAGTGGAGAGGTAAAGAAACTCAGATTGCACACACTTTTTGACGTAAGAGAACTTCTACACGTAGGCTTTAGTGGTTATTTCTGATATAGGACTAGTGGATAATTTTTGTTCTCATTTTTTAAAGGTGTTTTTTATATTTTATGGGTATGAGTGTTTTACCTGCCTGCATGTATGTGTACTGTGTATGTCCAGTGCCCATGGAGGCTGAGAGGTCTTGGATACCCTGAAACTAGAGTTACATGTAGTTGTGAGCTGCCTTTTCATACCGGGAACCAAACTGGAGTCCTCTGCAAGAGCAGCGAGTGCTCTTAACCTTTGAGCCTTCTCTCTTGCTAGCCTGACAAGCTAAATCTATTTTTGAGTTTTTCTGTATTTTCATTGAAAAAACTAGGTGCAATGTTTCTGTAATTCAGAAAGTAAAGTCACAAAAGTTCTATAAAAATTCTGAGAATCCTTCCCAAACTGTTTTCTAGATTAGACATGTTTAATGATTTGGCATTAGCCAAAAGTGACTTTGTAGGGTGTTTGTTTGTTTGTTTGTTTTTTGAGATGGGGTTTCTCTGTGTAGCTCTGGCTGCCCTGGAACTCCCTCTGTAGACCAGGTTTGGCCTCGAACTCACAGAGATCCGCTTGCCTCTGCCTCCAGCATGCTGGGATTAAAGGCATGTGCCACCACGGTCAGGCTGGCTTGTTAGGGTTTAATATCACCAGTGCATCCGGAGGGTGTTTTGTAGTAGTAGTTGTAGTAGTAGCTGCCAAGTCTGCTGATCTGATCTCTGGGAGCAAAGAACTGATCCTGCAGTTGGGACCCTCACCTTGTGCTTGTTCTCACACTCCAGTGTACACACGTGCACGCACGCACACACACACACACACACACATGCACGCACGCGCGCACACACACACTCAAACATACACCCATATACACATGCACACACACGCACACATACTCAAACATATACCCATATACATGCACACACACACACACACACACTCAAACATATACCCATACACACACACTCAAAATACACCCATATATACGCACGCACACACACACACTCAAGCAAATACCCATATATACATACACACACTCACACTCAAGCATATACCCATATATACACACACACATACACTCTCAACCATACACCCACACACACATTCTCTCTTCTCTCTCTCTCTCTTCAGGGCTCACTCTTTGCTTAGGTTTGATGCCTATGCAAGACAGCGCTTACTCCAAAAACAGATTCATCATACCAAAAGTGAGCTCAACTCTAAGCCCATTCCGCCTCATTTTCTGTGTATTTATAGCTTTTCTTATATATGTGCACTGCCATCTGCATTGTGTGTCCTAATTCTTTCTCTGAAGAAGAGAAATGATTCCTTTGTAGCATTTTGATGATATATGCAATATTTTCCTATTACCTTAATTTTTTTAAAGTAATGTCTCCTTTTAATGAAGCAGTACAGCCCAGTGAGTTCTCCTCTTGAAATGCTTCTTTTAGTTTTACTTTTTCTCACAATCACTTGTAACTCTAGTTCCAGGGGAATTTAACACCTCCAGTTGGCACCAACATTACTCTCTCTCTCTCTCTCTCTCTCTCTCTCTCTCTCTCTCTCTCTCTCTCTCTCTCTCTCTCTCTCTCTCCCTCTCCCTCTCCCTCTCCCTCTCCCATATATACACACACATCATCAGGATCTGCTAGAAGCCTCTCCGACTTCTGCCCTGGCCCTCAGGCAACACCCCTGACTCAGTAGCCTCCTGTTACAGGGAGTCACCCCTTAGCCTGATTCTCTGCACCCTCAACCTGTGCTGTGGGGCCAGGGTCCCTCTACTTCTTTCTAGTTTTTGCTTGTCTGCTTGTTTTTCTTTTCTCCACCTATTGGAGCTTCACATAGACTTCTGTTTGTGTGGAAAATCAATTGCTGCCTTCACAGCTGTGAGGCTGCTCGTCTTTATTGAGCTTTCAGTTGGCTGCCATTTTCTTTAGGAAGTTTTGCTCTCCCACACTGAGCTGTGGTGAGTGAATTGGAGTGTTCTCTCTCTCTCTCTCTCTCTCTCTCTGTGTGTGTGTGTGTGAGCATGCACACACGTGCCTTTCTCCTGTCACAAGGGTCATCTCTGACTGTTGTGTCTCATTCAGCAGAGAGGATGCTCTCAATCTTCATATTACTAGGTGAGTAAATTTAGGGCATTAAGTAGTTGAGAAAACCATAAGATACAAATGCATAACCTGGGAATGCCAGACATGAATTACAGCTCTCGAAAGACTTGCATCTAATCCAGGATTGTGGGGAAGAGAGGTTGTGGAGGACAGTGTGTTCCTTTGTTTATGTTGCTGGTTCCTGGCGGCATGTTTTGTATGCAGTGAGTGACAGACTATGCCAGTAAAATAAGGAAATGTGAGAATGGGGGACTTGCAGTTATGGAATGTGAAATTCAGTTGCATTCCACGTAAACTAGGACCAGTTGTATGTACTATTTCCTTTAAAGGAGTCTCTTCTGCTCCTGTGTATTTTCCTTGGTTGTGTCTTTAAAGTTAGAAGTGCTTCTGGTTACTTGAATCTGTTAGTATAGTACCTCCCATGCAAGGAACATGACTTAAAGTTACTTCCTCTGTAGAAGCTTTCATTATCTTCCCCCTCAAGCCACAGCTTGGCTCTGCAAATGAAGTTGCTGGTGTGTTGAACTCTTTATGTACTTGCACATATATTATGGCTTCATATTTTGCTAGTAAAGTTTATATTACTATAAAAATACCTGAGATGGTTAACTTAGGATAAAAATAGAGTCACTTTGGCTTATAGTTTGGGAGGTTCCAGGTCATGGTTATTGGGCCTGTTGATCTGGACCTATGACTAGGCAAAGAAGGGAAGAAAAAGCAGAGACTAGGATCCCTTTGTCTCCTTCAAGAATGGGGGCCTTTGCTGGCTAATAGACCTGGACATATATATGTCAACCTTTATCCAGAACCTTCCAGTAGCGTCACTCTGGGGACACATCTTGAACACGTGGCCTTTTAGGGACATTGAGCATCCAAGGCATAGTTGATATTAGGTGATTAATGATAATGACCATGTTTTCCGTGACAAAATCTAATCTAGTCAGTGCATTGCCCCCTCAGTTAGATGAATCTTTGTATAAAAGGCTGCTTCATAGACCTGGAGTTAATCCATACTTTTTATGTATTCTTGGCTTTCATTTGGTGTCTTCAGCCACCATCCTCTTAGCTGCAAGGGTCCAGTAATCATGGCAGGCCTTCTTTTGTTTGTGGGGTTATTTTGAGCTTGTAGATACAATTCTGAAGAAGAGAGAGTCAAACTGCATGGCATATAATTACGGAGTGAAATAGCTTCCCTGAAATGATTTAATGAGAGCCCAGTTCTTTCCCTTTTAGGTGTTATAGAAGTGAGTATAAATAGGACAGTAACGTATTTCCCTGAAATGATTTCATGAGGGACACAGTTCCCTTCTTTGTAGATGCTTGTTTAAAGTAGCTTTCCTGGTGTCTTGGGACTTACATGGATGTGTGAGTTGTAGTATGTCTGGTTGTGGGCCCTTCACCCTATGGCAGAAGAAAAAAGTGGCAGCTCCTGTAGGTGCAGAGAACCTATGCTCACACTTGGAGGCGGTGCCTTTCTGGACCCTCCCTTTGGCTTGTTTGGGAGGGGCTGGCTTGAATCAAGTGGCCTTGGTAATGGAGTGAGAACGAGTATCTGAGACTTGTTTGGCCTTTCCCCCACTGCCCGCATGGTCATATGTAAATATCTGTTTGGAGGTGGAGCGTCTGAGACCCTGCTGGTGGAGGGGATGTCTTACTGTCTTATTTCCTTTGCCCTCCGTCAATATACCAAAGGCTCACACCAGGCACGTCTCATCTTTTTTTTTTTTTTTCTCTTTTTGAGACAGGGTTTCTCTGTGACTTTGGAGACTGTCCTGGAACTCTCTCTGGAGACCAGGCTGGCCTCGAACTCAGAGATCCACCTGCCTCTGGCTCCCGAGTGCGTGGGATGCAGCTGTGGGTGTAGCTAGCTCAAGAGTGTGTAGCCTTTCTGTAGGGTGGGTCAGTAATTAACTTCAAAATGTGTGGCAGTGTCTAGGAAGACATCTATGAAAAGGAAAGTCAGTTCCGTATTGAGACAAAAGGCTAGGACTATCTGTGGTATAAGAAACAGAGAAGGCCACAACTCTGACCTAATAAATGGGCTAACTGCAGATCCTGACCACCCTTCCCCCCTCCAAACCTAATCCCCCCCTTCATTCCTACTTTTGCAGCAGACCACCTGCTAAGGCCTCCCTATACAAATCTAACCTCCCCACCATGGCTTTACACCAGCCCCCAACTGCAGCAAGCAGTTACTGTCTTGCTGGGAAACCACAGGCTGTTCCCACCTGGAAAACAAGTTGGCTAACTGCAGATCTTCCCCTTCCCCTCCACTCCTCCACGTCCAGTGTCCTAGTCTAATGCCCGGAACTCTCTCGGACCTTCCCTTGTAGCCTCGCCTCACGCTCTGTCACTAGCCCCAGCGGACTAAGCAGATCCTGATGTAACCCCCTGCTCTCTTCTCTCCTGTGGATCCCCTTAGCCCCACATCCCATCCCCATTCTGA